TTACTGCTGTGGTTCATATCTTACGTGGCTCTAACTTTTGTACTGTTGTTTACTGCTGTGGTTCATATCTTACGTGGCTCTAACTTTTGTACTGTTGTTTACTGCTGTGGTTCATATCTTACGTGGCTCTAACTTTTGTACTGTTAGTCAACAATTTTGTTTTGCTGCCGCTGGTTATTACTGATGGCGATCTGTATGATAATGATGATTTTTTCTTCAACTTCAATGACATCTTGATAAACAAGGTTAGTGTGTAGTACCCTGTTCCTTCAACATGGGTGTGTGGTTGTATCGTCTGTATCTCTCCTCCTTTCTCATTATCTTGCTTTGTAGAAACTCTCTTATAACACCTTTAATCTTCGACATTTGTGGGACCGATATTATTTGTGCCTCAAATGCCGTCAAACTCTCACTAAAACTTCAACTTCAGTGGCGGTGGCTGAGAACAAAAAACAAATTTGTGCTGCGAGTAACGTCAAACACTTTCTAAAACTTCCTGCGGGTGGATGGCGGGTGCTCTGGTGTGGTTTGCAGCTTCTTTCCGATCAAACATCTGTCGTCTTTATCTCTCCTCCTTCTTTTCTGTGTATGTTACTCTCTTGTAATGCATCTATTCTCCGGCACTTATATGACCTCATTGTGTTGCAAGTGCCGTAGAACTCTTACTTTATTTTTATCTGCTGCTTATACCCTTTTTTTTTTGGTGTCGCGGGAAGAAAGAGACGTCTCTCTGTCGCCAGCCGGAGAACTTGGTTCAGGGTGATGCCGTATGTTGTTAATGTTTCCCTGGCTCCATCTATTCAGGTCTTTCTCGGTCGCCCTCTAGCCTTGTTGCCATTGAATTGTTTATGTAGGCACGTTGTGCTGGGTGGTGTGTTGGTAAGTGCATGAGATGTCCGAACCATTTGATTGTTTGGTGTTGGATGTGATGCATGACATCATTTGTGCACATCATTTCTCTGACTACTGAGTTTCTAATTTTGCCTCGCCTGGTCTTGTTTACTGCTTTTCTAAGACATTGCATTTCACATGTAATTCTTCGCCCCAATGTCTTGTTCGTGGTCCATGTTTGGCCTTGATAGGTGAGAGTTGGGATGAATATGATGTTGATCATTTTGGGACTTGTTGTCATGGGGACGTTAGGACGTGTCAGTAAAACTATTACTAAAACTAACTAAAACTCTATCCCCAGTGGAAATGGCAGAGAGCAAAGAACCAATTTGTGCTATTCAAGTACCGTAAAGCTCTCACAAAATCTTCCTCCCCAGTAGAAATGGCCGAGAGTAAAGAGAACAGCGACGACCTGCCCAAGGTGAAGCTCCCTCCCATCAAACTGCCGGGCCAGAGACAGGAGATGAGCAAGGAGGAGCGACTAAAGGCCAGACTCTACTCCTACGCGCCCCTCAAGGCTCCGGTCAACCCGCGCGCCCTCAAGTTCAAGGGCGTGACCCAGTGCCAGGCCCGGAGAC